ACATTACATTGCATCTTATTACATTCATCATTCTTGTTGATTATGTGCTTTATTGGTGGTTGGACATTGCATGATATTTGATTATTCTTATTTGATGATACTTGACTGATAAGTTTAATGAAGACTGGTAAAATTAAAGGATGATTTTCTTATATACTCATGTCACTACTTTTTTGTTGTCAGTCTATGAGATATACCGGGTACACGTGGTTTCATACTCATACTATACTTGCCGTACTCTTTGTGGTGCAGATTTGATTTCAAATTGGAACGCATTTTGTGGAGCTTTCAGAGTTGAGCTTGAGTTATCTTGGAGTTGTGGTGAGCTTCTTGGCTATTCTGTGTCCTGCACCTCCCTCCGTGTCTTAGCTATTATTTTAGTAGTGTTCAGACAGGATATTCCCTACGTCTAGATTTGTCATTTAGTTCTAGACTTGCATCCTAGTTTAGAAGTTCTTGTACTTGTGACACTAAATCTTGAGGCGGTATTTCAATTTTCCGCATTTTATTTAAAAGACTCATTATGTAATATATTTGCTTGCTACTTAATTTTCCATATTTTAAGTGGAATATATTAACTTATTGGGTTGGCTTACCTATCGGTTGAAATACAGGTGTCATGCCCCGAGCCTACACCCTGGATGTGGCTGGCACTCGAGAACCATTGCTGGCCCTAAGTGAACCCTTGGCTTGACTTACTTACTCAACGGAAGACTTAAACATAAGAAGTATTATTCATGCAATAACATTAAGAAATAAAATCTTAGCCAAAATGGCAACCAAAGTCATAAACTATAATACTAAAATGAATAAGACTGGAGAACTAAAACTATCTGTCTATGAAGCCTCTAAAATAAAGACGGATGTCGGGACAGGACCCCCAATCATCCTAACAACTGAAAAACTAGAAAACAACTGATAAATAGAGTCCTCCGAAATGCAAGGAGGCTCACCAACTGATTCTGAGTGCTGAACCTGATCAATGAGGCGCTGGATGCTGATCATGGTTACCTGTGTCTGCATCATAATAAGATGCAGGCCAACTGGCATCAGTACATTGAATGTACTAGTATGCGATTGGAATGGTAAACATAACATAGGCTTGAAATATTCTGAAAGAAACACTTACCTTGGCTCTTCTCAACTCATGAATAACTCAATCCATAATAAAGCAATAAGACACATGCAATATATGAAAAACTTTATAAAATGGTAAAAGCAACTTAGTTCGTTCAAGAAAAATGTAATAACAAACTCAACTTTACTCATATAACAAAGTAATATAGTTTATGTGGGAGATTCTCTAACCGACAACCACCACTATGAGCCTAAGTGATGGTACAACGTCTTACCTCACGCTGCCAAGGACCATCCTATACATTGCCGGAGGTATAGAACCTAACTCACTAAGTGGATCCACTAGTCTATGCTAAAAGCATCTTAAGGAGTCATCTAAAAAGTATGATCCTTTACTACCCATGATGGCTACATGGTTTATGGAGACTTGAGTTAATATGAACTCGCATCTCCATATCGATGCTCAATGCTACTCCCAAAATATACTTAGCTCATATGATTTAAAATCAAAACTTCTTTCTTTTGTTTGAGATAATAACTCAAAACTTTAGCTTAAAAGATCTCTTGGAAATCGATGTTTCCCTTTCTTATTCAAATGTGAAAACACTTAATACTCTTGGGAATACTTAGTTCCCTTATAGCTCTTTAAGAAATGGACTCAACTCTTTACTCTTTGCTTTACTTGAAACGTAAGTCTTAAAACAAGGTGAAAACGTTTGTTAAAGACTTTTGAAAACTTTAAAAACTTTGCTTTGACTTGATTCTTAACTTCTAGACTTGACTCTTAACTTCTCTTAACTTTGATCCTAACTTTCCTTGAATTGGATTATGGATTCAAGGTTCATGATCTCATATTTATGGGTGATTTCATGATGTTTAGATGTACCTTATAGTGTTGTAATCAACTAGAAAACATAGGTACATTGCTAAGGAACAAGTACGAAAAAATGGGGAGCAAATGGGGAGAACTGGCGTCCCTGGCGCTCTGAGAGGCGCGGGGCGCTAGTTTTTGGCTAAAAACATTCTTAAACTATACCCCGAATTTAAACTACATCCTTAAATTATCCTTCTTAACAAAAAACATTCTCCAAGTATTTAAAACTTAACAATTTTCATCCCTCTATTTAAATTTATCAAAAATTTAGCGAATTCCACACAAAAACATATGCTTTTTATACTATTCTCATAAAAAAAATCTACAACATTATTACCGATTGGAAAAAGCATAAAAAAAAATTTAAAAAATTGAGACTCATGTTTGCTGTTAAAAAAACAATGTTAGGACGGTGTGAGTCTACGCGGAGATATGATCTTTATTTCTCCTTTACCAACTAAATGAAGTTGAAGCTTAATTTCACACCATCTTCACCTTGCAAAGTCAAAATGTCGTTAGATCAATAATTTTTTGGGGTAAATTAATAATTGAAGTGATCAAGATTTAGCTAATTTTGATCTCTAGTACTCAAGTTTCGTTTTCCATTATTAGAAGTAAAAGTCTTCGATCAACACCACTTTTTGCAGATTAAATGAAAAAAAACATTTCCATTGATAATTCTTTGATATCAAATCAAATGAAAAATAAATAAAAATAAAATTGCTAATTAAAAGGAAGACAATGTAAAACGTTGTTACTAAAAAAAATTATAATATTATTTTAGATGTATGTCGAATGAACAAAATTGGTTTATTGGGGTGATTTAGGGGGTTTAATTTGTTGAGAGTAGTGTGCACCATACATGTTGTGAATAATTTGTTAGTTTTTGACAAATTTTAACAAAAGGATGAAAGTTGTCAAATTTTAAATAATTGAGGGATGTTTTCTATTAAGAAAAATAATTTAAGGATGTAGTTTGAGTTAGATGGTATAGTTTAAGGATGTTTTTTGCCAAAAAACTCCACGGGGCACCAGCCCTCAACATTCAGGGACTGGTATGAGGTGCTCTGGCTGGCGCGGCACCCCAAGGGTGAAGATTCAGAAACACTTTTGGGGCGCGCTGGTTGGCGCGAGCCCCACCCCTATCTCCAGATGTTTGACGTCTTTTCTTCTCTGTTTTTCATCTCTAAACCCTCTAAACTTCCATGGTTCCTTCCCCAAACACTTAGAATCATTTATACCCTCAATATATGATAGATTCAAACCAAAATTACACCTGGAAACATGAATTAAATCACAAGAAACTTCAATCAACACAACCCACAAGAATTCAAAGAAAAAACCTTCAATTAATGTTCATCAAGAACTCAATTTCTAAACCTTCAAAAGACTTAAATTCATTGAATTAAATCATGATTGACGTGTGGGTGAACTAACCCAATGCTATGTGATCTCACATACCTTTTTAGGGATCACCCCCGACGAAATCCACAAGCTATCCTTGACGAAATCGACGAATCTTGAACGTTCTTCTCCTTTCTCCTCTTCTCCAAGCCCTAGTGTAAAGTTCACTTTTCTAAACTGACTAAAATCTGACTTTACCCCAATTAAACTCCTAAAAACGAATTAGAATAATTAGGTAAAGAAAAGACTAAATTACCCTTCCAAAAATCCGGACTAGACTTTCCTTAATCCAACAGCCCAACTTCCAAAGGGAATAAATTACTCATACGAACTCGGAATCGTACAAACTTGGCGGCGTTGGAAAGATCATTCCAAGAGATTTCCAACCATATCTGGAAGTACACCTAATTCATCCTGAGCTAGAAGTTATGGCCGTTTGAAGTTGACCAAAACTCAACTTTTCCTAACTTAAACAAATTTCTAGATTTTCATTCTTTTAAAAAAATGACTATTTCCAATTATTAGCTTATTCCTAGTTATTTCAAATTGCGAGATGTTACAACAGGTGCCATCACGACTTGTGATTTTGCGTCGTGACAAATTGGTATCAGAGCCCTAGGTTTATCGGTCTCACGAGTACAAGAGCTGTGTCTAGTAGAGTCTTGCGGATTGGTGCAAAAATGTTCGTTACTTATCTTCGAGAGGCTATGAGACTTTAGAAAACTTTTATTCTTTCATTCCTTATCGTGCCTATGTGGTTCATTTTAAGATCTAAACTTCATTCTTTCATTCTCTCACCAATAGTGACGAGACGTTCTCAAATTCGTAGGTCAACAATATTAATGATGCTATGTGGTGTAGTGTGAGATGTTGTGATATGTCTAGTAAGATGACTAGGTAATAAGCATTGCGACTTTGAATAATTCAATTAAGAATGTTTGGAATAGTAAGAATGACTTACTCAAGGTATGATTTTGACAAGAATATTTCAATTTTGTTGTATTTATTACGATAATCTCATTGTATAGATATGTTACTGATAAATTAATAATCTAATTTAGAAAAGGTATAATATGGATGCTATGAATACAAGTGTAATCTTAGGAGGATAAATTGACTAGGTAAGAGCATATTAATCATGATCAGGCTACAATAAAAAGTTGAGGAATAACAAAAATATAAGAGGTGATCATTTATGATAAAGTATGAGATGAGAGAACTTAATATAAGATTTGTATGAAAGACTTTGTTTCTAACCTTTGGAGTGGAGGTATACTAAAATAAGTTAAATAGTTCAAGTTTGATAACAAGATAATCAAAATGATAAAGTTTCTTATGATGGGAGCCACAATGTAGACAAAATATGATATTCTGTAAGATTATGAAGCCAAGTTGAATGAAAATCAATAAGGGCACTTAAAGTGGTGATTAAATGGTAGATATTGGCACATTTAAACAGTGAGATGTATTTTAGAGATTGAATTGAGGATCAACAATACTAGTTGAAATTAGTGGAAAATAGAATTTGATTTTGGGCAAGGATACTTGTCTGAAACTATGTGGGAAAATTCATAGATACGTGTGTATAGTGGTAAAGGATCTCCCTACAATTCATGGACTAATATTTTGGTATGTGGTGGTGTAGGGGGTGGCAAGGGTGGCGGTGCTGCCGGTTGTGGTGGCGGTGGACGTGGTTGTGGTGGTGGTGGTAGCGGTGGTGGCGGTGGTGGGGGCGATGGTGGTGGAGGTGGTGGTGGTGGTCGTAGTGATAATAGTAGTAGTAGTTTGTTGGACACAGCTACATCAGAAAAACAAATAAAAAAAAGAAGGTAACAGAGGAGAAAAAAGCAAACGAAAAAAAGAATAGAAAGGGAGAAAAAAAGGGGAAAAAGGAGGACAAAAATTGAGATTTTCATCCCAAAGCTTTAAGGTAATGCTTCTCGTCCTTTCCATTAAATTTTTATGTGATTATGAACATACTTTTAGGTTTAAAACGTGTAGAATGTACGCTAAATTAAGAAAATATCGGTCTGGGGTTCTTAGAACAAAATTTTAATTTTGGGGTAAAATAACGATCCATTTTAGCTAAAATTTTGTATGCGAGTTTATTTTATCATTGGCAAATATAATTTGAAAGAAAATTTAAGATTCAAATTTGGTGACTCGGGATGACTGTTTGACTCAATTTTTGAGCCGATACTAAAGATAGTAATATGGGTGTCATTAGATTTGTATTCTTATGAGGATTACATATTTGATAGATTGGAAAGGCTTTGAAGCTTTAGAAAAGAAAAGGAAAAATCTTGAAGAATTCGTGGCACGTGTTTGACTTTTGAGGTATGTTAATACTTTCAGACTACGTTGAAAGACATTTTTCTATTTGAAGATTAAAAAAAGAATAGACAGTGGGTAAGGGAAAAAGATGGGGGTCTCGTACTAATGGTGTAACAAGCATTGGTACAAGTATCAGTGTTATTAAAGGGAAAGTTTATTACTATAATATGATAGATTGTAATGTGAGAATGTTAAAGCATACGAGCATTAGCTAATGTATATAGTGACTTGATTTTTTTTGTGTGGTTGTGTTTCTTTATTGAACTCGTATAATTGTAATAATTGAGGGGATTATATGTCGTAGTGACATTTGATTCATTGAGATGTTGCATCATCCCCTTTTATTGATATCATATTATGCACATGCATTGATATGAGATTGAGTATGAATAAAGGTCTAACACGTGGAGATCATTCGCGTTGAGATCGAGTTAGGTTTATAATTTTGGCACATGGAGATCGTTTGTGCAAGGGATTGGTTATGATTAAAAGTTTGACACGTAGAGATCATATGTATTGGGGATTGCGTTATTTTATGATAGTGCATTGAGATCATCCGCACAGACACGTGAAGATCGTCCGTGTCGGTATATGAACCTTGTTATTCCCTTATGGATCATGAACTCTTGATGTATTTCCAAAGAGTATCATGTATATACGGTTGAGAGAGTATTTGACATATGAGGCATATCATTTCGTGATGTCACATTGCATTGCATCTCATTACATGCCTTATTCTTATTGATTATCTGCTTTATTGGTGGTTGGACATTGCGTGATATTTGATTATCCTTATTTGATGAAACTTGACTGATAAGTATAATGCAGACTGGTAAAACTAAAGGATGATTTTCTTATATACTCATGTCAATACTTCTATATTGTCGGTCTATGACATATACTTGGTACACATGGTTTTATTCATACTATACTTGCTGCATTATTTGTGGTGCATATTTGATTTCATACTTGAGCGCATTTCGTGGAGCTTTCAGAGTTGAGCTTGAGTTATCTTGGAGTTGTGGTGAGCTGTTTGGCTGCTCTGTGGCCCTCACCTCCCTCTATGTATTACTTATTATTTTATTAGGGCTCAGACAAGATATTGCCTACGTCTAGATTTATCATTCAATTCTATACTTGCATCCTAGTTTAGAAGTTCTTGTACTTATGTCACTAAATCTTGGAGTGGTATTTCAGTTTTCCGCATTTTATTTAAAAGAATTAGTATGTGATATATTTTCTTGCTACTTACTTTTCCATATTTTAAGTGGAATTGGTTAATTTATTGGGTTGGCTTACCTATCGGTTTGGAACATAGGTGCCATCACGACTTGTGATTTTTTGGTCGTGTCATTTTTAGATTGTTTAAGTCATAAGAATTAGATAGAAGGTAGTTGAGAAGACATGTTATATAAATGGAGAATGTAAAATTATCGATGTCACACGCCTTTTTTGAGCATGGTGGAAGAGGTTTTTTCAATTTAAGTGACGGTATTGATTAGAGATTATTTTTATTTTATTTTCAGAGTCGCCACTTGGAATTGAGTTATGGTGTTCCAAGTCACCTTTTTGTTTAATCCCTAATCAAAAGGAAATGACTCTTTATTTCGTCTGCGAACTAGAAATTTGGGTAAGGAATTCTGTTGACCGAGGGAAAGGTATTAGGCATTCCTCGGGTCCCGTGGTTCTAGCATGGTCGCTTTTATTAACTTCTACTTATTTTAACTATCTTTTGGATATATTTATAGGCCATGATTTGCTCGCATTTTTTATTTGTTGAACTTTTATTTGGTCTCAACCTAGATGGTAACCGCATTCTTGGTTTTGATATTTAATAGTTTTGAAGCATAACTGTTTTATTCTCTCGAGTGCGTTACCTAATATTTTATGTCTCACATCTTTATTTTAACGAAAACAAAATATTTACTTGAATAATTTTACCAAAGTGTGTCACCACGTCCTTGAATTTTTTTAAAATGTTTCAAAAACGATGTGTAACCACATTCTTAATTGAAACATATTTTTTAAAGTCCTAAAACTCATCTAGTCATTAAAAAACAAATATTTTTCCTTTATACATAAAACACAATCAAGTAAAATAAATCTAAATGTTGAGGATACAATATATAATTCTAACATCATTTTTATATCCTTTTATTTTATATTAATAAGAATAATTTTTTTTGAGTCTTAACGTCAAAATTAAGCATACACTTTCTAATCAAACAAAACAATAACGAATTGTTAAAGATAAATCTCATTTTTTGTTTGATAAATTAAAATAATAATATTTTTTTTAGCCTAACTATACCTACTTTATCATTATTATCTAAATCAAGACAAGAACAATGTCACCCGTTCATTTTTAAGAGGTCACAACTAGCGAATAGAAACAAATAAAATAAAAAAAGTTATCATTGTTAAAGCTACCTTCATTCATTAAACAGAGATACAATAGCTAACAAATTGTTCATTTTGATCAAATTATGAATTAAAAAAAATAGGAAAACTTATCATAAAATTACATCAAATTCCATAAATAAATTAAAGAGATAAGGTAAAGTTAAATACAATTAGAACACCCACAAGTTTTTTGTAGGTTGTTTGTGATGGTATATGTATTTGTGTTGATATGAAATAATGGATAAGGAAGAAAAGATGTGAATGTATGATTATTGTTTGAAAGAAGAATAAAATAAAATGGAAATGTTTTGTTCTTTTTTTTCTTGCTCGCGTGTGTAGTGTATTTTTTTTTGTTGCTGATTCTTCTTTTTCTTTCTTTCGTGTTTTTTGTGGTATTGTGCAGAATGGGTTTTTTTGTGTGCTGTGGGTGTGTGCATATATGTATGTTTGTAGTATGTTGATTGTAGTATGTAGTATATGTGTGTTGTGGGTGTAGTGTGAGGGAGTGGTGAGTGGAGTGGGGTGTGTGGGGTAGTGGAATCGAAAGTGGGGTGAGGGTAGATGTAGTGGGGTAGTGTGGGTAGTTTAGGTTATTATACTTTTTTAAATTAAATATATATATATAAACCATAAAAATAAAAATATTAATTAAATATTTTGAATTAATAAAATATAAGAAAAGTCAAATAGCAGCCCGCTTACGTGCTGCCACCACAAACTAGGATTCCCTTTTAATTTATTTTATTTCCAAAACTAGCCTTCC